ACTATTTCATGATGTGAATGCGGACAATAATATAACATGTAATTCATGAACATTAATTAACCAATAAATCAAGTCAAATACCATCGAACACAAAACATATTTTTATAAAACACTAACAATGCATGAAAACAACATTAAATCGTTCCATGAACATCAAGATCACAAGATGGCCTTTAGACCGAATTCAAGCATGCACCATTCCATGACTAGTCTTGACATGAAACTAGTTACCACATCTTCATGTCATTAATAACTTGCACAATTGTCGTTTAATATAACAAATCATATCAACACATACAAGTGATTAGTCTTGGCCAAAACTACCAAGAACAAACTATGGACATTAATATTGTCCTAGACATAATCAAGCATGTAACTAATCAATTTTTATCTAAACATGTCATCATTCAACTCAAATACTCTAACATTAACATGGTCATTATTAAACACGTGAAAATTATATCAATCCATCAAAATTCAAATTTGATTAACACATATAAACAACTAATAACTTCGTGATTTTAGCAACTTTTGGGTTCCCAAATCTTGTTTTAAGCTAAACATTTCATTATTCAAATTAAATAAACTAAAACTAACTTGATTATAATTAAATACATGTAAATCTTACTAATTTACTAATAATTTCAGATTTGATATTTCTTCCCTCAAAATTCAGATTTCTCTCAAAGACAACAACAACCAATTCTTCATCAATTCAATAATTTAAAGGTTCCTAAATCTTGTTTTAATCTAATTCTATCCTTTATCCATTGATTCAACACATGACCCTTCATATTCAAACATCAATTGACATTACCCATCCAATAATTAACCATAATCTCAACTAACAATCAATCACCCAAACATGAACAAACTTAAATCAAGCATAAACACACAATTAACCCAATTACATCAATTTAACCAATTAATCATAACTTCATGATTATGGTCAAATTCATCAATTAAGGTAATCAATCCAAATTTATTAATTAAATATTTAAAACACCTTAAATCATTCTAAAGAATGTCTAATTAACCTAAATTCTTGAAACCCAATCATTTTTTCCCAAAATTCACAACTTAGCCAAAACTTTCACCATCCAATACCCAACTTTAATTCATCAACCCAACTTCAATATGATCATTCAACCATCACAAATATGATTTCAATTACAATTCATTATCAATCAATTATAACAAAACCCAAATAATTGAACAATTAACCATAATTTTTAAAACTTCAAAACATAAACAATCAAGCATCCATCTATTATAATCTTATGATGTAGTGAGGACTACTTACCTCACTCGGATGCTTGATAAAACCTCCTTCTTGATGGCTTGAAGTTAGTCCTTCTTTTTCTTTCTCAAAGTTTTGACTCAATCCTCTCTTTTGCCTCCCTCTATATTTGATTCTTCCAAGCTTTCCTAAATAGATTTTAAGGTATGTTGATGGGTAATTTAGTGGTTTGGGTGATGGGTTAGGTTGATTCTTCTCTAAATTGCTTGAATTTACTTTGTTCTTCCTTGAAATTTTGGTTGCTCTTCTTCCTTCTCCTTCTTCTTCTTGGCTGAATATATAGAGAAGATTTTTCTTATGATTTTGCCAAGTGTGAGTCACTTGGTTCCATCACAAATCTCTTCATTAAAAGCTTTCTCTATATTTCTCTCTATTTCTCTCCTTGATATTTTCTTTTCCTTTCTCTTCTTTTTAACCGACTTAGTAGGCTCTCTTTTTTCTTCTTTTTTTTTTTTCTAGCTAGAATTTGGATATAAAGGCCAATTTCAATCAAATTAATTGATTCCTTAATTTTCCAAAATTTTACATTTCCCCTAAACTTGTAATTAGTTCAATCGAGTCCTTCAATTTCAATCCCTAAACTTTTATTTTTCATAATAAAGCCCTTAATCTAGGCTTTTCCTAATTTATAATGGTTAACTGAATTTTTTAATTATTTTGATCAAGTAACCAATCTTTTAACCGGTGCAATTAAACCTCCTAAAGTCTTATAATTACATCCTTAAATTATTATAACCTCAACAATTAATTTTATAACTTACTAAATCAAGCATTAAATAATTTATGGAGCTCTCATAATATTTATGCATGTGTTAATTTGTTTTCTATGTAGGCATAAAATATTAATTCATACCTTAAATAAATGTTTATATATTTAAATAATTATTGACACATATAAAAAATGTTTAAAATTTAAGGGTGTTACACCTAAGAAATTAAATCCTAAAAATATATATAAATACCTAAAAATCAAGAAACAATGTAACATGTAATTTTTGAATTTTGTATAAAAATAAAAATTATCAATAGTCAAAAATAAGTTATGACAAACTTCATTGATGTAATTAGTCATAGACACATCCTCTATCATCTTTAGATTAAATAATTGACACTTCAAAAATACATTGTTTAAGGTACATGACTTCTCATACATATTTGATGGTGCCATCATTAGATCTCGCTATGGTCTTTTTTTTTTTTTTTTGCACAATATTAAAAGCAATGTTTTTCGTCAATATCGGTCGAATAACACCCGAGCATGACGATCCAACAAAACCCAATGAACATCTTTCATCTCTTTCGGCTTTCTCCTAATAGAAGATCGTGTTGCTTCTTCTACTACAAAAAATCTTCAATCTACATCTTTTAGAATTTAAAATTTTTGTCATCAAACTGATAAATCGTAACTTTTCATTCTTTTATCATCGTTCTTCTTTGCCTTGTGAATCTAGAGCTCGATACCAGTTGTTAGAAGACGAATCAAGCAAGAAAAATAGAATAAAAAGATAACAACGAGTTACACAAAACATAAATTTATATGGTTCGGTAATTGTCTCTACTCCACGATTGTACTAAGAATTCTTTTTAAGCTTTTATTAAGTAACAACTATAAATATAAAAGATATTGTCCTTATTTATAATGTAAACAACTAAAGTTATAATAACAAAGATCTTACTACCTATACAATCAGTTCAAAATTCTGCAAACCTTTCAATGACTATGTATATGACTATGTATAGCATATTAAATTACACATCATATATACATCATTCTTCTTCGCAACTTAATATTCTCTTCTATATGCATGCTGTGAACATTCATGGGATTTGACATGCTGCACATTTTGCACAAGTTGCAATTGTCGACGCGAGGAATTAAAGCGTACGTGGGTGCATTCGGCAGCTGAATTAGTTGCTAAAGCGACTAGACCTTATACTGCATGACATTAAACCTTGTTGTTAATTCCCGTCATGCAGTATAGTACCCAATCTAGAAAACTAGAACGTTAAGTAGTAAATTAAATCTTCAAATTTGTGCAATGAAGTCTTCAAACTTTGCTGAAATAAGTGAATCGCACCAGCAGTTGTGGAAATTCGCAAAACTTTTGAGGTGTTGACACATATGGTACGTAGTTTGTTTTCCATATGATCATCTCATATTTAAATTTAAAGAAAAGCTGTTAGACGAAAGAAAACTCTTATGAATGCATTAAGTTTACGTATAAATGATTTATGAACTACTTAAAACCCGTCAGATAGGGATTTAATTTCAATATGTAAAATCTATGGAAAAGATTTTTTTTTTTTTTAATGAAAAGAAACAAAGAAAACAATCTTGTACATGTTTGTATATTACAATTATCAATAAGTACATTTTATTTAGTCACTCGTACTACGTGATATGATAAAATTGTTTTAAATAAATGAAACATGCTTTCTTCTTTTAGATATACAGAAAGTGAGCAAATTTTGTTTAATTAATTACCAGCGTTGTCCCAAAACACGACGGACTCAGACCATGTTGGGCTAACCCATGAGCGAGTCCGTGTGACGTGCCACCAGGCCTAAGAACATCGATGGATCTTCTCATGCTAAACCAATGCGCTATAAAACTCTAAACCAGCCCGACAATATTTAAAGATGGTATCGTGCCGAGCATGATCCGTTAGGACTGGCAATGGAGGTTTATGGAGGCATCCTAACCTTTATATCTGCTGTATTTATATTGGAAACAAATTATTTTAGATACATTTAAAAAATTAATATATATATTTATATATTCGGATATGGAAATCTATTGGGTCTAAAAAAATATATTATATTTACCTTCATTTATAAATAAATAGGGTATTTTTTACCCACCTCTACTTTCGTCTTCATAAAAATAAAAATCCATTCATATTTGTCTCTATTCGGACGGTAAAAGCGAACCTCCATATAAACATGTATAATTGGCATCTCTATGGTCAGCCGACCCAGCCCTTTACAAAATTTAATATTGTTTAAGTTTTCTTCTTACCCTTTTTTAGCTTTGATAAAAAAAAAAAAAAAATAGAAACAAGAAAGTAAAATAAAAGATGATGGTAGAAAATTTCCACCCCTAGAAACAGCGATGCATCTCGATTATGTCGCCACTGGTGCGTAGGTTAAGACATCGAGTGGTTGAAATTGAATCATTTTGGTCCAAGATGAAAAGTTGATGCATGGATTTGTGAGTAAAAATTGAATCAAATCTAAAACAGGTTTTGGAGTTTAATTTAGCTTTAGGTTGTTAAATGAGTTTTAGGTATATCGAAATCTCATATAATTTTATTTTTAATTATATTTTTTTATTGAGATCCTAAATTATTTTTGTTTAATTTAAAAATTTTATTCTTAAATTATTATTATTATTTCAGATCATAAGTCATGTAACAAATCGTTGTAAGCTCTAATAAATGATAACTTATCATATATCATAATGGATTCAAATTGAATTTTAATAAAAATAAAAAAATTCGATAAATTTTAAATAATTAAACAAATAACAAACCTAAAAATAAGGTAGAAAAATAATATTCAATCTTTATCCACTAAAACTAAAAAATTCATTCTCTCTCCTGCTCATTTCAATTTTTTTCTCTTTCCTTATTTTTCAATTTGCAATCATAACTTACAATTTCTAAATTCTAAATTTCAAACTGCTATCAATTCCATTGCTTCAACTTCCACTGCTGCTACTGTAACTGAAAATCTGCTCATTCTTCTCATCTGCATTTTTCTGGGCTCTAAGGGCTTCTGTAATATTGAGATCCTTGTTTGCTTCATCACCACTATCGTCCACATCAGCAATCTCATCATCAATATTGTTTTGCTGTGGTACATTGTTATCAAAGTCATCATCAACTTTTTCTTTAATTGCATTCGCATCATAAGGAAGCCAACACCAAAAATTTCCTTGATGTCTATATCTTGATGTTCTTCAACTTCATCGTTCTTCTTGGGGCTTGGTGAGAAAGTTAATACATTTGGTGGATGGGTTAGATGCGTGGTAATCCTCTTACTGGCAGCTTTTGTACCTATCCTTTGATGAGAGCACCATGATGCACGAAAACACACAATGAAAAGTAGAAGTGGCAGATAATGAACAATGATTGAAAATTATATATGAATTATCAATGGAGCCCGGATTATATATATATATATATATATATATAATGACTAGCCTTGCATTCCATGCAATATTTTGATTTAGAGATCCTATCTACCATCAATGGGGATTAGGGTTTATAATTGAGAAATTCAGGATTTGGTATGAGAGTTTAAAATTTGATAATTAGGAATTGTAAGTTTTGATTGCACATGGAAGGAGGAAGAAAGAGGAAAAAAATGAAATGAATAAGAGAGAAGAGGATTTTTAGTTTTATTAGATAAAAGTTGGATTGTATTTCTCTAACTTAATTTTAAATTTATTATTTGTATAGTTATTTAAAATTCATCAAATTTTTTTTTATTTTCATTAAAACTCAATTTAAGCTCATCACGTGACAAGTTGTTATTGGTTAGAGCTTGTCACATGTGTTTATATAACATATTAGGGTTTGAAACAACAATATAAAAATAAAATTATTAAACGAGATAGAAAAAAAACTTAAGATTAAAATATTCGAATTGTATGTGATCTCGATATATGTAAAATCCGTTTTTAAATCAAAAATATGAATTAAAATTAGTTTTAAGGTATGAATTGATTTTTTATTTTTATGCTGTAAGGATGGTTTTAATGTGTCTTTGGATGTACAATATTAATGTTGAAATTAGAGATTTTCGGATGTCTAAATTAGAGATTTTAACATGTCTGGACTAAACCTGACTGGCCTAGCTCCACAAATCAGACCAGACGAGCGTCGTCTAAGAAGACAACATTTCATCTTTCCGCTGCAGACTGAAACACGACCAGCCCATGTCTTTTTTCTCATCCAAGGTTTTTTTTTTTTTTTTCATATTGATGAAGTTTTTATTTTTTATTTTTTTTCATATTTTCTGCTCTACAACATGTCACTTTCCGCTCTTCTTTTTTTATTCTTGCTTCTTTTTTCAAGACACAATGATATAGAAAAACGAAATAGTATTTTCTTTTTCTTTTGTTTTTTTTTATTTTTTGGGAAAATATACATACTGATGGAATTACTGCAAAGCACTTTTTTTCCTTACAGAAATGCTTCTCTAATTTCTTTCTTTTTTTTTTTTTCATGTGTTCTCAAGAAAAGCATTTAGAATGATAACATTTTTCTTTCTCCTGTGAAAAGTCGCACAAGCATAATTCTATGACATAAATAATATTACATGTTTAATGAAACATGAAGGCCAAAACTCAGATTAGTCCCCCAACTATCCATGCACATTTCCTCAATCGAACCCTTTAATCGGAGAAGTGCACATGCTAGTCACATATTTTCTGACTAATCCTAATTTCCAAAGTCGTATATGCAAAAACATTCAATCTTCCACCATTTCAAAATTCACACGAAAAACATGTCAACCTTGATGATGATGCTAACAATAATGGATTCTACACAACCCAAAGCTGAAATTTATCTTGCTCTCATAAATTTGCATAAAACTCTATGCGCAGGTAAAATGTAAAGTTGCACAGATGTAGTAGTAGTATCTATTGGGCCAAATTTGGAACAACAGAATTATAGTGCTCCCCAAGCCCAAATGCATGCTTATGGTATGACAACATAATACTTGCATTAGATGAACAAGCACCACCGTCAGATTTGTACTCCTTTCCCATCTCAACATCAGGGAAGGATCCTGAAAATACCTTGATATGCCTCCGTAGGCAGTGAGTTAGAGCCCCAAGCTCCAGCTGCCCTCCCCATGCTGTTGTAGACTCAACGTCTTTACAGTAATTCTCGAATCTGTCTGAGAGTGAATTCTCAGAGTTTTCTTCAGTCGTAGTATCTGACAGGAAAAAGGGGAGGAAATCAGATGAATTTTCCCTCATATAGGCAGCCACCATTTTTCGAAGCTCTTGGTAATTATATGGAGTTGAACCTCCAGAAAGAAGCGCTAGCTGATCTTCAACAGCTCGGTAGAGGCAGTGCCCATCAGGCTTTATTTCACTAATGGTCAACCCGAGGGGTTCAAGCTTTCTTTCTAATTTTTCATCTTCAATCATTCGATCACTTACAAGGTTGCTCTGCTCTTCTTGTATTCTTTGTTCTCTTTCAGCTTCTTGCTGAGCTCTTTTCCCCGCCTCTTTGCACTCTTGCTGGGCTTCGAATGTTCAGGCTGGTTGGTAACAGAAACCCCTGCTACGGCCTTCACCAAGCTATCAAGTTTGCTACTCTCATTTCCATTAGTACTGTTATAACCTAAAGAAGCAAGTTCTTCAGAATGTTTTCCTTTTAGCTTCTCAGATAGTTGAGAGATCTCTTCCTCAACCAACTTTTTCTTAGCTTTCTGTTCCGCCTTGCTACCTTTTGCTGCTGCCTTTTTCATCTCAATTTCTTTGTTTTGTAGCTGTGTTATCTCCTTTCTGCCCAGATAACAAGTTTTAGATGCAAACACCAGTTAATAATTCTCCCAAGTATTTAGCGATGGAAAGTGGAAACAACTCCAAACATTAGATCAAAGTGAAACACATTTATTCAACTTATAATCAAATATAACGTTAAGTGTAAAACTAAAGTAAGCAACATGTAGACTTTCTGGGCAGGTCATTTACAAACTACAATTCTTTTTTGTCTTAATTTTTTTTATCAATGCATTAAGCAACAAGTAGATTTTGAGCGCAATCATTTTCAAACTACAGGTCTTTTTTGTCTTTAATTTTCTTAATCAATGCATTCTCAGCTCCATCTCAGTGACATAAGCTGCTACCCATAACATTTGTAATGTAAGCTCACCACCATTATAGTGATAATGGTTATTTCCTCATACCCTACCAGCCAAAACTTGTTCATCAGAAAGCAATCTGATAACTGAATTTTAACACAAAAGCAAAAATTTATGCTACATTACACCGAGGCCAACTCATAAATAAATGAAACAACAATAATTAATTGATCATGCAGATCATAAAACCATAGACCTGTGCCGAGAAAGCATTTCATCACGAGATTCGTCTTTCTTTTGAGACGCATTGGCCGGAATTGCGTCAGTTGGTTTATCCTGTATTTCTTGAGCATCCGTCATTTGGACTACACTGAAATAAGGAACAATGATAATTCAGAACATAGGATGTAGTTGAAGCAGACCGTCCGAAACGAATAACTACAAATTCAGACATAATTTCTACAAAGATTAAAACCAAAACCTAACTTCCCAAAATTTTAGTCGAATTTTACCAAAATCATAATATAATATCTACCGGACTGAAATATGAATTCTCCTTGGAAAGCCCAAGTGGTCGATTGTGCTAATTATGCAAACCCATAAAGTTTATACTCCAAAACCAAAATTTTCGAATTTGCAACTATTCAAAAGGTAGAATTCACAGAACCCATGAAATCTAAATGAAGGCTAGCTTGGACATAGAAGAAGAAGACTAACCTTCAAAGAAAAATTGAAGAAGAGTGAAGGAAGTGGTTGCCTGCGGCAGAACCCGCTGACAGCGACACTAGGAAAGGCGGCTGGTAGCTTGGGAGGTTCTTTTGGGTCTGGATCCCTCCGGATCGATAAAAAAATGATCCTTTTTTTTTTTTTTTTTTTTTTGATAGAAATAGAAAAGGCAGAGGGAGAGTGGTGGCCCAAAACAATAAGGGAAGAAAGAAAGGCCCTTCTTTTAAACTAGGGTTTTTAAGTTTTAATAATTGGGTTAAACGTGCATTTGGTATCTGTGCATGTTTTATTTTCTTAATTCAGTCCCTATACGTTTTCTTAGATGTCCTGGCCTCTTATCGTGATAAAAATGCTCGTTGGAGACAGGGTAGTCTTGAATCCTCCAGACTTGAGAGGCTTGACTCTGTCTTCTTCTCTGATTCAAAGAAGAAAAAAACTGTTCTGAATGCACAGGATACTAAGAGTAATATATACAAACATCTTTCCAATACAGATATCCAGATTCTGGTTAATCTTGACAATAATTTCAGCTGATTTTCTTTACTTTCTTAGCACAATTTGATCGTTAAAGCTGAACTTTCCTCTTAAAGGTGGAGCACCGATTTTGCTGAGCCAGAATATTGAACAAAGTGACCGTTGCCGGCCTGCTCCTTCAAGTTGGGATATGAACTTTGCGTAAGGCTTGGTCCTCAAACAACGAAGGTTTGTTTTGGGCTCTCTTGAACTGGGTTTTATGAAACTAGCCCTTCATTGTCCATGTACTCACGAGCGAGCCTAAACACGCTTTTTCTTTTTCTTTTTCTTTTTTCCCCCTGTTATTTGTCAAGAGAACAAAAGGGAATTTAATTAAGCGAGAGAACCAGAAAAAATGTGATTACCATTTTTAGGATTTGCATTTTATTGAACCTATTAATGTAATATAAAAAATATATAATCAAATATATAGTACACGCTTTTTGTTTTTGTTTTTCTTTTTTTCCCTCTGTTATTTGTCAAGAGAACAAAAGGGAATTTCGGAGAGAGAACCAGAAAAAATGTGATTTCCGTTTTTAGGATTTGCATTTTATCGAAACAATTAATGTAATATAAAAAATATTTAATAAAATATATAGTCTATTGAGAAATTTTATAATACGTAAGGAAGTAATTAGTTATATATACGGTAATTACTTCCTATATCAACTTTAAAGAAATAGTAGACACATTAATTACATTCGGACTTATCAAAAGAAGAAAATTTTCAAATTCGTTTAATTTTTTTTAATTTTCTCTCTCTTATTTCTCTCTTCTTTTTTATATTTATATTTTTTTTCTCAAAATGGGTTTATATGTTATAAAATTTATCCATCGGTATCATTTTCAATTTAGTAGTTTTTTAATTACAAAAATAGTAACAACTGTGTGTGTGCATATATATATATATATATATATATATATATAGAAGGTTCAATAATGAAAATTTCGTCTTTTTTTAATTTTTATTCAACGAAAATTTCATCTTTAATTAAATCAAACAGATCAAAAGATACATTTATCATCCAAAAAACAGGTTTAAACTTGAATGAGTCCGCTTTTTACGTCCTCAAAAGGTGACATTCAGGGAAAATGCTTTCCTTTATATATATTATAGTATACTTAAAGGACACCTGCATCAATCGGAGTGCTTTAGCTAGGTTCTTAGTGATCTCCGAAGACTTAAAGTGAAAAATTCTTTTACATGATCAACATTTGATATATAACACAAAGAAGTGAAAAAGAATAGATCCCAAGTGGGTGGATGAAGATTGGAGCACAGCATAATATTGGATACAATAATCGCGTATGGCACATGTACATGTCCACCGCATGCATAAAAAGCCACTGAAGTTGGCCGACATAGGCATGCATGCAGAACAAGGAATTTTGCATATTCTTAAAGACTTTGATACGTAGAAGGATTCTTGCATGTTTTATGATCAGGCAGAACAAGCAAGGAGATGCACTTACGCACAAGATTCGATTTGTGATAGCTAGCAATTGCCAAGTAGCTATAGCTACCTATAGTGTTCTCAATTATTTTTCCAACTGTCTTCACATGGCCTTGCCATCGTTGTAAGGACAGATTTTCTCCACCTGTCAGTTCGACAGGGAAGTATGGAACGTAAATTTGAACTTTCTCAGTTGATGAAAAAATAAAAAAATAAAAAGAAGGTTTTTCGAGAGGATGTACAAAAACAAGATCAAGAGAGAGAGAAGCAAGTCTGTGGATGATTTTTTCAGCAATAGAGTTTTTATTGATTTTTTGTTCTTTGTTTAAGTTTATAGTCGATTTGACTAATACAGAATGATTTTATCTTTAATGACACTAATTCAACTTATTGGAATAGTATTTTCCTTGTATTCTAAACTCATCCCTTAGCCATTTTCTTGTTAGCTCTTTTCATTTTAATATATTGATCGAATTTCACCGAAAAAGAAAAAACGTATTTATCCATTGCCTTTTTCTTTTTTTTTTTTTTTTCCGACTTCATAATAGACTAACAAGATCTATTTGAATTTTGAATGAAAAGGCACAACTTGATGGCATTTTCCTCTTCAGACAAGTCTAGATTTTTGTAGTTCATTCTTTAGTTTTTCTTTTCCTTAAACTCTATGTTGAATTTTGCATACGATTAACATGGTGAGGGGACCAATTGAAGAAAGTCAGAATGGATTGGATAAACTCTATCTTCCACCACATCAGCCAGCGCTCAGCAGATGCTATGCTACAATGACAAGTGCCCAAAATGTGCCATGCAATCACAAGAAACAAGTTTAACTTGATCCAACTTTAAGAGCTACGTCATGCACTGTCTATACAACCGTATACATTCATCAGGATTTTTTTTTTTTGATAATCTTAATTTTTAGGTGGGCCAAGACATCGGTGCAGAGATTAAGTTAATGATCAAGTATTTGCAGATAGAATGAACAGGTGACTGAGACCTTCCATACCTTTGACATTCCACATATATATATATCAAATAATATTGAAAGGGCATTAAAATTCTTCACGTTGGTGAGATATTAAAAAAGGTCAAGTATTCTTGTCCATCCTTGAACAAAGAATTCTTATCAATATTAGCAGTAATTAACTTTGAATTTTATATTTCAGATGCTACCAACTGGGGCCGAAAGTATATATGTTCTGCTAATTGTTAAATGTATTGTTTTTACTCCTACACTGTTTAGTTGTACGGAAAATCTATCCTGGAGATTTGAATTATAGTTATAGATGAATGATACAAGTTGCTTATAGCACAAAAGGGGTCACCATCAAACAAATCATGCATAAGTTGCAATATATTTCTTATCCAAATAAATATCTGACGGATCTTTCTCTTTTTATCCTCTATTTTGTTTTTCCTTTATGGATTAAACAATGCAATCCACCACCCTCACCAGCCCTTATAAATAAGGCCAGCTGAATCTCAAAGTCTGCCAAAGCAAATCCTCAGTAACTAGCAGCTACAAGCTTCCTGCAATCAGCTTGCTTCCCTACAGTTTCTTTTCTCTCTTTATCAACTTTGTGTTTGTTCCAAGCTAATTCTACTAGCTCTTAGCTACTGTGTTTCGCAAGAAATTGTTTCATTTCTTAGTAACACCAGGAAAAGGTTTTAGAAATGGACAAGGTTAGAGATTTGGCATCAAAGAACGCTGCAGTGATCTTCACCAAGAGCTCATGCTGTATGTGCCATAGCATCAAGACACTTTTTTATGAACTTGGTGCAAGCCCTGCAATTCATGAGCTTGACCGCGAAGCCAATGGGAAGGAAATGGAGTGGGCTTTGCGTGGGCTAGGGTGCAACCCCACCGTCCCAGCTGTCTTCATAGGTGGAAAATGGGTAGGATCAGCCAAAGATGTGCTATCCCTGCACCTGGATGGGTCTTTGAAACAAATGCTCATGGAAGCAAAAGCAATCTGGTTCTAGCTATAGTGCCTCGCAAATAAGCTACATAGTACTTTATTTTAATGCTGTCTTATATCAAAATAGCTCTTATACTATGTTGAAAACAATGTTGTAATTAAGGGCTTTGCTTTTTCTTGAGTCCCCTCACTACATTGTATGGAAAAATGTAATATTATGAAAAAATTTCCTGAAGATCAGTTTCCAGGGGTGTTTTGAGATTTCAACGATGTTTTCATTTCTGTCCATACTCAGAAACATAATTTCCAACTTGTTGCATGTTTTGCTATGTTGGATTGATGCACATCTGCAAAATGGAAATCAGGCAAGCATTTACTAAAATTACATTCATGATCAGTTAGAATTCTGACAATCTCATTTTAGAATATCTGGCAGAACTGCCCTATGCAAACTTAATTACACCATAGAATAAAGTTCATTTCCATAGCGTATCACTTTATCATGACACTGATAAGAAATTTTAGGACAGAAATCTATCCACTTGGTAAAATTGCAATACTTGGCAGAGCTTCTTCTACACAGGTGTCGCACAGATAGGAAATATTTGTGGATAATATATGGTGCCTAAAGTCTATTTCAGATTTATTTTAACCTTAAACATGGTTCTTCTATCCCTAAAATTTGGAATTGAAACCGTTCAATTACTTAATATTATACATGCATGGATTACCTTTGACAAGGGAAGGACAAAAAGGCGATGCTGGAACATTTATGCCTCCCATGTATAATGTATTCCTCCATATCCACAAAGCAGAAAACTTTTCCATTATAATTTTTATGCATAAACTAAGAATATGGCATGCATGCATATGGTTTGCTACATGTGCATATCTACATATGACTGTAGGCATGCCATTATGCATATACATATTCATATGCTTAATTATATAATCATGTTGTACATGATGATCCGCAAATCTACATATGACAGTGGGCATGCCATTGTGCATATACATATTCATATGGTTAATTATATACTCATATTGCACATGATGGTCTGCAAATCAACATTAGGAACTTTGTATGTACTTGAAAATTTGAATGCATGAATATGTATAGTATGGATACAATATGGTTCGTACACCAAGTATAGGATAATTGTAGTTCTTATTATGATGGAAATCGCAGTAAGGCTCAAGACTGGTCACTTATGCTTTACAGAAAACTTATTCAAGGGAGAACAAATATTATTTCATTTTGATCAATAAGAGTTGCATATCTGGTATGCAGATGCCGACGTCATTGACATGCTTCTTCGCACATGCAAGAGTTAGCACTGGTTGGATTGCAGCAGCACTATATAGAATAGAGCCTCACTTGTTCGTGGGCTCAAAGGAATCATGCAAGTTGGTGGGCGCAGCACCAAGAATCGCAGCCACCGAAAGCCATCTCATTCCCAATCTTTCAGCAGAAGGATTCAAAGAAGGTGATTGTGGGAATCTGGTAAATTGACTGGCTTCATAGTATTTTTCTACTTTTGTTGTGTCTTTATAGGGGGTATAATCGTGTCCATAAAATCTGCAGAAGTTGAACAGATGGTCAATAGCATGAATACGTCTGTTAATTATATCCTATTGTATGAATCCCACAGTATGATCATTGCTTTGATCCTTCTATCTTAGTAAATATGAAGTGAGAGTCCTCGGATCGGATGGTTATATTAGATGTTATAACTGGTCAATCTCATAAGTACTTGAACAATACCGGTGCATCAAATTTTGGTCGTCAACTTGTTCAGCCCATGGAAGCACAGTAGTCCCCATCTCTAAAAGTAACTTTCACCCATTTGGGCATCTAAGTAAAGCTCCTCCACTTTTGAATGTTCTTGTTCAAACAAAAGGACTCCTCCTAAGCTGTCCCTATATATAGTCTAGCATGAGAGCATAAGTTCAAACAACCTTCAGCTTTAGAACCCCTTTTCTCTCTTTCCTACTCCCATCCAAGCATTACCATTGGATCCAATTCTAGTAGAATTAGGTCTGCTAGTCTGTGGGATCTGAACAAACTCTAGGGAAAGCCAAGGACTTCTGCGCATACTAAGAAGGCTTAATCAGGAGTGAAAACATGGAAAAGGTGATGGGGTTGGCCTCTGAGAAGAAGGTAGTGATATTCAGCAAGAGCACATGTTGCTTGTGTTATGCAGTCAAAATTCTATTCCAAGAAATTGGGGTGGACCCTCTGGTTTATGAGATTGACCAAGACCCTGAAAGCAGGGAAATGGAAAAGGCTCTCACAAGGCTGGGGTGTAACGCGCCTGTACCGGCCGTGTTTATTGGTGGAAAGCTGATGGGATCCACCAATGAAATCATGTCCCTCCACCTAAGTGGCTCACTCAATCAAATGCTCAAGTCCCGCCAGACTCGATCTTGATTTACTACTTCAATATCAAGCTCTGGAAGAATAAAAATTGTCTCGATTTAGTAGTCTAGCTAGTGTGTTCTATGCTTAGCAATCTATGTACGTAGACGTTGTTTGTGTTCAAGTACTTCATAGCTTTGAACATTAATTAGCTTGTGTGTAATATGATCCCTTATGTCAATGAATTTAACTTTATATATATATAAATGTTGCTCTATCTGCTCAATGCAGAATTTTAACATTAATGCACGATATCTGAAAATTTCATCATGGATCTTCCTTTTCTCTCATACATTTGAAAGCAAGAAAATTATATAACTTTAAATCAGTTCCTAAAGAGGTAAAGCTTTAGCTCTTTTAGACAGACCTTCGATTATATAAATTGCATAATCTTTCTTCGATACAATAGAAGGTGACTCAACTATGATATTAGGGGGGTTGTCTTGCACATCCTCAATTTCTTGGCGACTAACCTATATCTTTAGAGAATGTTGGGCAATCAATCCTCAATCTATTACAATTCAACACATTCACAAAGAAAGATATATTGCAGCTGACGAGGCTTGTTGATTGGGCCTTTCTTTATCATTCAAGCAGAATCACTTTTACGTTGCGAGAACTATCTTTATCTTGTCGCAAGGCGATATTAAATGATAAGAATAGTATATTCAATTATCACTCGAGTCTTAATTAGTTGACCTAACTATAGTTAGGACTATGATGTAAAAAACATAGAGTTCTGTTGATATATTTAGGAGCTTTTGTTCGAGTTTATCATATGTTTATTGAATAGGGGTTAGATTTTTTTGTCCTCTCGGTTTATTGGATTAGGCTAGAGTTATCCCCCTTTATTCTTTTTCCACTTTGATATTAATATATTTTTAGGGTACCACCTCTGTTTTTTTTAAAAAAAAAAAATCAATTCCCGAAAAGCGTATTCCATAAAATCATTCATCATCAACATCATATATATGTGTGTGTGTGTGTGTGTGAACCAATATTCTACCAAAACGAATTAAAATCATTACATGCTTTTTACATTATTATAAATTCTCATAGGAAAACAAATTAAATTAAAAGTACATACCTTCTCAGTTCTAATTAGAATCCTTGCAACCTTGAGTAGTACCATTAACATTTTCACATTTGCATCATGTAAATATTCCAAGGGCATCCATTCAAATATAGTAACAATTGAGGAGGGTCGGGCGCTATGCAAAAAGAAACAGTAGAATTATACAACTGCCTACTATAACATTTTTATTTATTTTTTATTTTTACTTTTTTTGGGTGGGGGAATGTGGGGCAACTATACGTGGACCAGGGGTGGGGAGGGAGGTTGAAGGTAGTCTAGTTAGACATCTCCAACTTTTGAACTGCCTATTGCTTTCCTCCATACCAAAAAAGTTTAAAAAGGAAAATTCTTTTTTGTTTGTGCTGCCATTGATTCTTCTACTTTACCTTAAATAAAGAAAGGTATTACATTCCTTTCCTTTAGCTCTTTTTCAGCGGTGATAGTATCCCATTGTATTCCAGGGAAAAAGGAAGCAAGATCAGAGTTTATGACAAAGCATAAGTACCACGCTACACATCGCATCATTCTTGTTTAATTGTCTCATGGCCAAATATCCTTCTCCCGAACTAATTTAGTAATTGACAGATGAAAAATATTATGCCGATCGAGAACCATGTCTTAATCTTTAGTCTGAGATCAGATTTTACTACACTTTTTCGGAGAAGTCATTTTCTTTTCGATCCTTTATTCATAGGTTGTAACAACTTAATTAGAAATGAAATTACGATTCCCAAAAAGCGTAAATCAATCTGATTTTCTGACTACTAATTATGAGGTGCTACATTTTACGGAATTTTTGCTGCAGGATTAAACACAGTGTTGTTTTTATGTTGCGATTTACATGGAATTTTGAAGTGATCTTTCTTGTCCAAGTTTCCACAGTGTTAGTTTGTGGATTGATAACTGATTTTGTGAACTAGGGATGACAGGAGAAACTACGAAGAATTTCTTTAAGAACTGTTGCATGTCTCTGCAAGAATATATATGTATCTGCAAGAATATATATATACATATATATAGAGAAAGAGAGAGAGAGAGAGAGAGCATAAGAAAATTATGTCTAGTTAGTTCACTTTGCTGAGTCTTTATGCATTTTTAGTTAGAGAACAAGCTTGTATGCATTTATCTCAGCTCATGGCAAGTTGAAAGTGAAAGGCCATCATAAACAAAGGGGCCGTAACTGATATGCACATGACAAGAAGGTATGGTTAGCATCAAGGAATGTATAAGAAGCATATTCACTAATGCAAAAACAAGATGCGAGATTTGAACAACTGGAGTCCTACAGGCACTGAATTTTAGAAAGAAATGGTCCCCTCCACTTTAAGTGATTCAGGAAATTAAGAGATTTAGGATTTCCCAGACTGAACCAATTATTTGAATAGCGTAAACATCTAAGATATTCTCTAATCACCAATTTCAATAACCTAAAAATCTAATATATTCTCTAATCTGTTGATCCCAATGAACTTAATTACTAGAAAATTGCACACAAATGTTACAAGAACATCCTTCAATCGTATATAGATCCAACAACGTAACCTTAATCCCAAACTAATTGGCGTCGGTTATATATATATATATATATATAAGAATAACAAAGCAAACGGAACAAATCATTAAGATGGATTGCTTACTCAGAGAATTGATCAGTATCATCAGTACTAAAACTTATTCTGCGTGTTAGCTAATAAATCAAGGCAACAATCACCAAAAAAATTATCATAAGGAAGAGATGAGAACGATGCAAGAGTGACTAGGATTCTGATATTGCTTTAGTTACAGAAGAGAGGAGAAGTTAATATGTCTGGATTTTCTATCATTTCATACTTCAGCCGTTACATCGGATTGTAATTTTGTAGATATTATAAGATCCGAATAACTGGACAACATATGAAAACCCTTTAGCTAATATATAGCAATCCCACTTGATGAAAAATAATATAAATAATATCTCCATACTTTATTTAACAATTTAAGTTTTCAGTTAACATAATTTTTTGATATGGTACCAAAATCTTAATAATCTTATTTTTTATTTAAAAAAAGAAAGAAAATACAGTTGTATATGCAGATGTCTGACAGTTTATGAATTATGATATGCATTTATCATGACCAAAAAAAAAAAAAAAAAAAGGGAATGCTGTGGACAACCAAAGGCAGTCAAAATGAACTATCTTACGTAGCGCATGGTTCCACATGGTTTCACAAATTCATCATCATGATCACTTAGTCCCTCCGCTTTCCAACCTCCCACTCTGTCCAGTTGGCTATTCTTTTCTGTTCTTTTTTTTTTTTTTTTTTTCGGGAGCTGGATTCTGATCAATAATATTCTACTGTGGGAAATAGGTGGATGGACATGTGATGGATAAGCTATCTCTTGGTCAGGAGGTTCCGCTTCCACCTATAGATAATCTCATTCCTTATGATAGATATTGTCTCTCCTATGTTAGGCAACAAGAAGAGGATCCGATATTGATCCCCATTCATTGCATTGTGAGCTTTTATCTCTTTGGTAGCTACTAAGTAAGATTTAGTGTCTCTCCGCCTTACGGAATACAGGTCCTGAATTCTTGATTAGATAGTCACTTGCCTTGGTCATGGTGTGTTAATTTCTCCTCATAATAACTATTTGCCAAACTCAAAGTTCGAAATAAGTATAGAAGGACCACCAGATAAAAGGATCTCAATCTCAAAAGTGGAGATATATAGAGAACCTTTGCAAACTGCAAAGAGAGCACTTGTCTTCCTCAAGCATCGATCTCACCCAATCTCGATGTCTTGCTACTCTAGTGGCTTGCATGTACATTTGAACCACTACCTCTAAATTAATTCCTTCCTTCGTTCGTGTCACTTCTTTTCTCAGCAGCATAGTGATTCCTTTGCTTTACTGGCATGCAGAGATATGACTAAAGGTTACATGCGCATCTCATATGGGTGAACAGCAGCTCACAAGACACAGTACTGCTTCAGCATCCATCTTTGCATATCCTCAAATGGAGCCAGTTTTTTTTTTATTAACTCCATATATATATATATATCTGATTCCAATTTGTATCCTTATAATATCTGCAATTTTATTTGTCTCTATATAATCCAGATTTGATTCAACCAAAATTTTATTGCTATCTTATATATATTTTGACCTGTACCTTAAAGGCTGCACAATAGAAATAATCCTTCCTGTTATTCCTTATTTTTTTTCATATAGCATAATAAAATTAAATCATATACCAAAACTCGCTCTATTCATTATCCCAAAAATATAATATAAATTAGAATATTACATTACCTTTCCTATGATCGAAATTTATATTAATGAATTTTCTTCTTCGGTAACTTCTTAGAACCACCATCCTGTTATCCATAATGTATAATATGATATAAGCTCCGGCTATTTCTTCTAATATCTCTATATATATAGCCATACCGACCTACTATGGCTTTTTTTTTTTTTTTTTGGACGACAAAAACCTCATGCATTGCGTTGAATCAGTTACTCGTAGATTATACAAATCAGGAGGAGGATTAGAAATCGAGTCACTAAAGACACAAGACAACCAAGCTGCTATGGTTAACTTTTGTTGACATTCCTATTAACTACCCTAATAGATATGACGGCACGTACGTAGACGTGTGAGCACTGCCTTAATGGACATCCTTCAAAACAGCATTTTTTTCCCTCTGGACCGAGTCGCTGGACTGATAAATAGCAGCAACCGCCAAAGAAGCGTCAGACTCCATCACCACCATCTGTGGTGAGAACAATCCAGCCAACCTAACAGCTTCCTTGATAACAAACATCTCACCTATATATATATATATCACAGACCTGCACCTCTTCTTGAATGCTCTGCCTTCAACTATTTGCTCTGTGAAGTCCCTACAGTCCCTGCACGCCTATGCCTGCATGTTCGGAAGGGCTCCCAAAAGGATT